AGCCAAATGCTTTTAACCTTCTATGTATGTTTGTAATTTGAAAGCAAAATATATATTTACTTTCTGTAAACTGTCTGTAGTATCCATAATAATATACGGACTGAATCTAATTCAGAAACTACAAGATTTTTTGTAAACAATGAAATCGCAAATTCATCCCTAGTCAAATGTATCTAGTGTAGTAAATGTAATGTAGGAAATGAGTTTACTATGATGAACGGCCATGGACGATGCCTATTATAATTTTGTTCGTACCTTACATGTATTGTTCTCGTAAATGTAATGATGTAGTAGTCTAAACAAATACTAAGAAACGGAAACATTTGCAACTACAAAAATTTATTTATTTAGGCTCTGCAAAATACATCTACAATATTTTTAGACAAATAACCTAAATTCTTTATTTTGTTATTTATATGCTGAACGTAATAACTTCAGTCTAGAATAGTCCAGCTCACCAAAAGAGACTTTAATTTAAAATGTTGGTCCATTATTTATTCTATACAATGCAATTGGGACAAATTCCCATGTATTATCTGACCGGTCCTATAGACCTTTTTCGTAACAAGGCTACTCGTTGTGAGCGGCTGCGGTCACATAAAGAATGACCTTGGATGCTGGAGCAATGAGCAAACCGCTTTATAGCTTGATAGCTAATGGAGGAATCGTGAATTTCGATGGAGCAATGTTTACTTTCGACTCGGTTAAGGGCACCTCGTTATACGCTTAAAATTGTATTGTTTGAGAATTAAGGTGATTGTAATAAAGGTGTAGGTTGGATTGTAGATGACTATATTCAGAGATAAGAAGTATCTTATTTGTTTTCAGTGTATTAATAGACTGATGTTTGTGTACTGCAAAAGACTGATTCTTGGACTTTGTGGGATGAAAACATTGTAGGTGGAGAAACATAATAATCACGCATAATATTCTCTGAAGGGATAGTACTAAGCTTGTGGAACACCCACTTTTCGACAGTTACGTCTATTAATAGCTTCAACCAAACCTGTGGCCTGATCTGGAAATATTTTATGCTACTGCCCTTTTTAATTATGGATATTCTTCTTGGTATTCTAAAATTACGTACCCAATTAATAGGAGAGAAGATGGCAAATCTTCTTTCAACATAGTTCGAGTAGTTTTGCTATCTGAATTTAAGATTGTATTTTAAAGTTCGATTTCATTGTTAATTAACACATATAAATCCGTGTAAAAAAAGGTCCGATTTACAGCCAGAGTTTTGGATGTTCGTGTTTATGGACGCCCGCGCAATAAATTAATGTTCAACCACGTCAGAAATATTAGTTCGTTTATTTAGATATTTCGATCATGCTATCAACAATGCGGCATTAAATCTGCCAAAATAATGGTGTTAAAAAAATTGGCAAAGGCAACTTGAATTTTTTGCACGAAGGTAGTGAATTATCTGTTGGCAACCACTACCGATCTGTTTATCAGATTAAAAAGGTTATGCGAGCAAACTAGTTTGTGGCGAACGTGAGCCAAATACAAATCCTACGGCATAAGGTTTCCTACCAAGTATTTTGAGTGCATTCGATATAAAAATGTTTATATTTCTCCTTACATTTATTACCTAGTTTATCTTAAATCTGTCTTTATAGACATGAGCTCCACAAAAGTTTTTTGTTAAGTCAGTTTTCGCAGTTTTCGTAGCATTTCATTTACCTAGATTCCTTCTTACTCTATCTCCTACTAGGGGTGTTACGATATTTGGAGTAATTTCAAAATTATGTTCATTTTTCAAAATTGAAACAGATATCATCTCCTAAATTATCTATAAAGACGTAAAATACTTTAAAATGATTTGGGGTTATTACACTAGTTATTATAAGTATTTAAGATAAATATCAAACGAAATGTAGGAAATGAAAATTAACTGATGTTTATTGAAGTTATTATTAAATTATATCAGTACTTGTGTTTGTAGTGTCTTCATAAACTATTGAAGTTAAGCTTTATCAAGTGTTCTCTACTTCACTCAAGGAGTTTGGTGATAACGACTTGAGTTTTTACTCGTAGTTTTCATTCACGTACTTGACATAAAGTGTGTAGTTTAAACTGTAATAATCTTTGTTTAACAGTTCTTGGGGACGTTTTGGTCTTCTGAAGGGCGCTTGTATTGATTTTATTTTTGTTATTGACAGGCATTTTTTATTTTTGCTTGGCAAAACTACTCTGATTATTAGTTTACCTGTCAAAACAATCTGTATATCGAACTTTGCTTTTTATGCATTGGCGTACCAATTGCCCATAAGATTAGTTAGTATTAATTTTACCGCTGATAATATGATTGTTATAAAAAGTATTTGCTTCACAATAAGAAATCCACTTACGATGATGTAAATCAAGTGCCTTATAAGATTCTTGCCTTCATACTACATTCGTCGATTTCACAGTACCTTAGTGCTGCGAGGTGTATCAAATTGTTGTGTACTACGTAGTCTTGTTGGCTGGCTACATTTCAGACCTGCACTGCGTGGGCCATGCTCTAACGATCGTCAAATGAGGCGCATGCACTTGCATAAGTGATGCGCTGCTTACGTAATCACTAAAGCATAGTGATGTTCTTAGACTTTACCCAGGCCTTTAACAACGAAACTACTGCATAATTTTGCTGTTTCACACCAAATTTGTTACCTAAAATTACATAATAATGTTACTAATGTATTGAATTTTCTTAGACTAAGCATAAACAATCGAATGTGATTACGTTTTTACATATTACTAAAGTACACTTTCTTGTTTCAATTTGCCTTATCGTGCTGCCGTTAGCTAACAAAGATAAGGTGATGTTTTGAAACGTTCAACGGTCTATCGATAAGTTGTAGCTCAACACTATTCAAACGTGATCTTCAGTATGCAGAATCGCCTCCCTAGCCGATTCCACTGGCCCAATCAGTCACGTCTATTCAAACGTAGTGTGGGCTCGCTTACGAAATATTCTGATATGGAATATTCGCGTGTTTATGGTTGAAAAACACGCCTAATGATAATTGATGTTTGAAGATATGTACGGCTCAGTTTAGCCACTAATGATTTCGCATGTAAATTTGTTTGATTACGTCGTTACTGCTAGGTTTTAATTAAATTGAATTTTTGGTCATGGATCTCGTTAAGGAGCAGTAGCAAAATTATAGTCATTACAGTAAACCTTTTCTTTTTAATCCACATGACTCATTAGAAGCTAACAAATTATATTTGTTTTTAACAGATGATTACTTAATTCGTCAGGTCTGGGTTCCTTCATGGTTTAAATTTGACATCTTTCGGCGCGAGGCATCATTAAAACCAGCCTGTACATAACAAAGAGGTCTTTGTCTCGTCAAGACCTCCCACTTTGCTCAATGTTTACAAAACAACATTTCATTTTATATTCTCCTATAGTAATTTGACCTTTTTTTGTGACAAATATATGTGGTACTCCACTGGGACGCCCCGTGGTTAGCCAAATGTTTTAAACAGTACCGCAAAACCAAATGACGTGACATGAAAACGCAATTTGCACATTCTGTCTGATTTGAGGTTGCAATTATTAACTAGGGCTGTAGACATATTTATTGTGATCCACACTATTAATGATGATAAATAAAGTGGTAAATCTTTCTCTATTTTTTTCTTTTGATTGATATATGAATGAGTCTGCCACTGTGCTACTTATGCGGACGTGTAGTACATGCATAAATTAAATGATGTAACCAATCTACATTTATGTATGAATTATAAAATACTGCGTTATTTGTACCGGAAAGTGAAAATTCTATTACATGAAAACTTCACAGTTATTTACGATCTAATTAATTCAGATCAGAAAATTATTTAAGTGGGCCTACTCGTAACCGCTAGTTAGGAACTAAATTATTGGATTTACTAATGACTAATTATTTTATATTGAACATATTTTTCCTGTATTTAATGCGTAGGGGAATTTTTGGGATTTATTTTTAATTTCAAAGAATACATTATACAATTAGGTAGGTACATATCAATGATTATGATACTATATGACGGCGATCATAAATTCTGCTGATCAATTGCAAGGATAAAATTTTGAAACACTCACAAAAAAAAATCTACCCTCTGCCGACGTCACAATATATTCACACTTTTTAGGAGCTATCACTCAATTGACAACGCCACATCCTTCCTCAATTTATAAGGTATCAGTTTCCGCCTTAAAGTTTGTAAGGAGCTTAATGAAATATTAATTAACAATTCATAAAATGGCATCTGCTTCAAAACAGGACACGAGGTTGCAAAAATTGCCATTGCCTATCCTCTGTTTAAATATATTTTGGAGTAATTCGAGCTTCATCGATTGGGACCACATCCTTCCTTTCAAGTACTTATGGGCTTCTTTCTCATGATCCTTGTCTTGGCTTCGGAAGTAAGAGGCAATGCTAAGGGCACCTGTTGGTCCCTTTGTTTGAGGGGAGTCTCATTGTAGAACGTTAGTGCCGGATGTTCCCACGCAAACGCATCCACGCCGAAATTCTATGGGACTTTTGCAACGGCTTTCATGGGGATGGGAAAATAGTTTATGGGAAGTTGTTAGAATTGTAACTAAGATAATTGTTATTCTAATTAATGTTGTGAAACAAGTTTAGAATGTTTTTAATTATTAATGTTATATTTTTTGTTAATACCAAATAAAAAAAAATGAATAAAAAAATTAGTATAACTACATTTATTTTCGTTTCTTTAAATACTTTGCAAACTAAAGTATACTGTAAACATTTTCTACAAGTTGAATGTCGCACTAGCACAATAGAAAATCGCACTAGAAACGTTTGAAAAGTTTTTGTTGTCTTCTCCGGGTGTTACATTCACCTGTCTTGTCTCCATTGCATCGAGTGTGAAGGTTGAATTCACTACTTGTCCTTGTCTACAATATAGCAATTATGTAGCGAAGAAAGAGACAAGAATTCTTCATCGCGCCTTTGTCAGCAGAAGCATGTGGCACGCGCCGCTCCATTCGGTTTCCGAACGTAAACCGGTGTGGACGTCGTGCTGTCTTCGACATTTTAATAATCGCGCTACGATCGTGTTTTGACAACACGGTGTCTCGGAACTTCTTAAATATAACGGAATAGTTTTTGAAGTGATAGCAATTTATACGAGGGGTGTTCAAAAAATAATGAACTGTGTTTTAAAAAATATTGTGTGCAAAAAAGTTTAAGAACTACACCTCAAAAAGTTTGTTAGTGAATTTATTGGACTGCGACAGTGTTTACGTTTTCGTGGACAACCAGCAGAGAAAGACGTCTAACCTACATCCAGGGCGACGAAGACGCATCCAAAGTGAAAGTTAAGGCTTACTGCTTTCGTACATGTCTTCTGTATTTGGACTGTCAAAAGACGTTTAGAGGACAGTTTTGTTGAGGGCAAGACTTTTCTTTTATAGCTAAAGGAATAATTGAAAAACTTCCGGGCGCTTATGGGAAAGATCGCAGCTGGGTGACCCGAAAACTGTAATAAAAATAAACGTTTCACTGGAAGATTTATATCGTCTTTGAAGTACGATATCTTAGGATGATTTATAGTGAGTGTCTTGTGAGGATGCGTTTTGGGAAGCCTGAATAGAGAGCTGGCAGCGATTTATTTTTCTAGCTTTATGAGGGAAAGAAGGTCGTTGCCGATTAGTAGCGAAGTGGCGCTAAAGAGTGACAAAGATGGAACTGGGAAGTTGGTGGTGAACTCTGTGCTGTGTGGTGTGGTGGATGAACTGTCTAACGGAAGGACTGGCAGGCGAGGCTCGTGGGTTCGTCACGCCGTCATGGGGGTGCTCCGGTGGAAGGACCTGACAGGAGTCAGGACCACCACACCTACCGAACAAAAAGAGGTAGGTAAACACATTACACATAAGCACACATAAACAGGTATAATGGAGGATCCATTACGAGGCATTGCGTCATTGGTGATGTTATCTTGTATTCAAAGGCTTACATTTTGTATGTTAGGGTTCAATCATCGTGTATGCCTGTAATCAAATAATAAATATTACTATTGAAGGGTTTTGATAACATCCATATCGGTTTATTTGTGTTTTGTTATATTTTTAGAACTTATTTTGGTTATAAAACACGATTGTTCGGTACAAATCACTTCGATTGATTCTGGCCCTTTGTTGCGTTATCGATAACTTTACATAGAGTTCACTTTGATTAGTCTGTGTAACTAAACCATAAAATTATGATAACGAAAGTGCTTGTGTTTGAATCTCGGAACTTTGTTTGTGTTGATAGGAAGGATCGTTGATGTCAAAATATTATACCATTCATTTTGTTTAAGTATTGTATTGTTTGGTTTGAAAATTGGACCACACAACGTGTAGTTCTCAGCATTTATTTAAAAAAAAAGTTAAAAATATCTTAGATTGACCTGTCAGGTAACCGCAATCGGATCCATAGAATATGACGTCAATGTCACTTAAGAGCCTTTAATACACCTTCATATGTTTAATTTTAATTACTATCTACCTATTACTAATTTGGATATAGTATAATAATAGCGGTACGCTATTTATTTCTTTTATATGCTAACTTGCAGCATCGATTTACAAAATAGGAACTGATGATGTGATGTGAGAGCCAAATAAAAACTTTTTACTAACCTAAAATTAAATTTATTCGACTTTTGGATTTGGAATACACAAAAATAAAATTGTGTACTGGAACGTATTAAGAAACAAATACATATTAATCCCAATTAACGTAATTTTTAGGCTATAATCGTCAAAGTATGAATCCATTTGACTTTGGCAGACAGACAGGCGTCATAGGCTTAGTAAATACCTAATAAGGTTTCAAGGCACATCTGTTTTATTAACCCCATTTATAAATCAAGTGACTAACATTAGAAGACTAGTGTATTCCCATATTGCAATATATTTTCCGCTTGTAATGACGTTTTTTTAAAGAAGATAACTTTATTACTAACAAACACTGAATTAACTGGTTAGGCAAGGCATGTATGATTCACTTCACCATCATAAAACTTATGTAAACAGGTGACGAATAGAGAAAATAAAGTTTTGTTAACAATGTCTCCGCCAATACCAAATTATCGCCTTTGGACAGTCAATTTAGTATTTTGTGTCATCAATTTTGGTTAACGGTTTTTTCATTGCGCAATCCAGTGTCAGTAGGTCAATGTTTTAATAGGTTTTGAATATCGAACTAGTATTACTGGCCGATTTGGATGCCATTAGAAGAGGTTAAGGTTGGCTATGTCCAGTAACGTTTTTTTCCTGATCTGGTTATGGTAACGGTCCCCTATTTATTTGAAGTTTATAGCACTTGACATTTTTTACTCCCTTTAGCCAAAAACCTCAGCTGCTGAGCAAATGAGGCCTATTAAAATGTTTTTCAGATCGTACAGTTGGAAGCAAGCTGCATCCAGCGTGCTTATTTTTTCCTTAAGTTTGAATGATATATTATAACCTCATTTAATTTAAGTACAATAAATAAATAATTTAATGAAAATAAAGGTATGAATAATTGTATTAAATGAATAATCTAAATGTACCTATAGCATAAATACGTATATCTCAGTTCGCAGATATGTAGGTACCTACATAATATAAGTATTTTTATTTTACAGTCTGCTAGTCTACCGATAAATCCGCTAATCCAATTGTAATTCACAATGAAGTTTTTTGACTAGTCGATTGGCAGTGTCCTTTTTCTTATTAGAGTTAATGCGATATAAAACAGTTTTATAATTGTGCATAGTTTTTTCTACTATTGAAATCACAATAATTAGAAAAATCAGGAATGGATTTGTTGATGATGTATTTCCGAAATAATTCTTAATTCCTTCATTTGAAGTCTAATTTCGTTTGTGTCTATACGCAATACAATACTAGAAAAAGATCAATAATGCAGAAAAAATACAGAATGACAAGATAATCCATACCTAATTACCAAATCCATACGGATTGCTTTTAATATACATACTTATTTTTCAGTTACATTTATAAATGGAATTTCATCTGTGGATTCCAGAAATGACGAGTGATAATGCTGTTTACTTTAGGTTATTTTGAGTAATAAAAATAGCTGGACGTGAAAATGGTCATGTCAACTATTATATATTTTAAGGTTGCCGCATAAAAAAATATGTTAGGGTTAATTTGTAAACGGCAATGTATTAAGGTTAATCCTTAGAGACTGGACTTTACGTTAACTCGGTAATAGCGGTATTTATTATTAAAGCTCGCATGGTCCGTCCCACGGAGCTGCCAGGTGCCTCATTTTCCTCCATGTCGGCTCAAACAAGGTTTCCTAATGAAAAATTACAGCCTTCCTTGAGACTTAATAAGCGAATGGACCGCTAGAAGATTTATTGAACGGAACAACCACTTTGGTTTCTTACAATTTGCTTTTCTGCAAAATTGTGTTACAATTCTTGGCAAGGAAATTAACGTTTTAATGTGATATTGGGTGAGCAATTGACTTAATTAAATACTGATTGAAATAGAAAATATATTGTATTTTTTCTATACATTTATTAGCAAACTTTGTTGACGTTTAAACTAACAAATCAGCGTTTAGATATGCAAATAACTAAAAAGCATATCATTGTTTATCAAAAGTATCAACAATAATATTTCCTCTTTCCTATTCATATACATATTATTATGTATATTCACCAAAACACTAGAAATTTCACCGGAACAATCGTCAGAAAGTAATCAAAATAACTAGAAACGGACACTGATCGTGACAAATAGTGACGTTACGCCGTTTCGTTTCTCAGAAACGTAATATCGATGTAATAATTACCACTGATTAGATACTTGCCGCTTGTAAAAGAGTGAGCGACTTCATTTGTTTACAAAGAACGCTTTTCATTGAGGAACCTTGAATATGCAATTCGAATACTGATTCTGAGAAACCGTTGAGCAAAATCAATGGTGCTGATAAATACTTTATTTATTTAACAGCTTTTTTGTGTATATACTGACTATATACATATATTTATATGTATACACTGACTTATTTTTTTTATGTTGCTTCTTGTACAGAAGTTATAACGCTTCCCCGAATTTAATGTTAAAATAGAATTATATAGGATACCCATTCGAAATAGGATTTCTCGGAATATTAGAATTATTGTTGGTCGCAAACATGTCGCTAATTTATCTTGATTCTATAAGATATAGTTTGTGTCACACACTCTTTGATCTTTCAAGTCAATGACCGCAATATTTGAATGTTTTATGAAAGACATTTTCTAAGACAATTATTTACTGGCAAATTTAATAATCGTTAAAGATTAGAACTGTCACATTTTAGATTAATAATTTTAAAACTATTTATCAGGGATAATAATCCACTCGAACGTCAAAATACCACCTAGAATTCATAAAAAGATTTGATATTTTAAATACAAAATTTTAGGGACATTTTCAAAAAAAGAATACACCATAATAATTTTGATGTAATATTCTGGAGTAAATAAATGATTAAGAATTATTTGAATTATTAATATAATGTAGTATCTAAAAACATTAATATTAGCGAGTTTATATTATACATATGTACACATCAAAATATTATTATGTCAAATTACACTTTCTACCTATACTTTTGATTTCAGGCAAAACCAATCATATTTATTCGAAAAACTACCTCATCGATTTTTCGTAGACTTATTACAGTATAGTTTCTTTTATTGACCACATTCCCTAATTTATTTTAGCTAATGTTATTGCTAAGGTCATCACGTACTTTTATAAAAAAGATTCTAATTAAAGAAGTACATTAATGCCGCGTGCAATTAATATGTATTGCCCATTCGAACGTACGTGTGGTGTATCCCGATTTGGTAGTAGACTATCTAAAGAATTATTTATTTTATGTTAAGTACTTACGTTTTTGCTGAATCTAGGTTCAAGTTTGTCTAGTGTATGTTTAGTTTTTGGTCTATTGACTTTGAACTCTGCATCGTGAATACATTGTATGTTCCATTTTTAAATATGTATTAATAATAGGTACACAAAGTATACACGTTGAAGAGGTTTTAAGAAGAAATTTAATTAAAATTAGTTTTCAAAGTTTGATTGGCATTAATCCTGGACTGTACTGAACCCGAATGTAGTTAACATGGTGTAATATACAGCGCTACTAAAAGGGCAATAAGAACGTATTTACCCCTTAATCACATAAAATAACATACATACAATGGACAAAAACTGAAAGTATAATATCATACTGACCTTTTAGAACCTACTAGTGTTAATAAATATGAACCCTATTTCCTAAGTAATAAAATATGTAAATGACACAGACTTTAAAAAATCTAGACACATCATTCATGATTAAGATAAACAAAACAAAACACGATCGGCAATCGATACACCGGCGGGACATGTCTAATCAAGTGTAACGATGTCTGATAACATATGTATCGCTTCTGTATCGACTAGATAACTTTCTTCTGAATTAATATTATAAAGATCTTTCTGATTTTAATGTTTGTTTGGTAGTGTTGCCTAAACATACTCAGAAACTACTAGATCGATTTGAGTATTCTTTCCCGAGTGACAAGCTTGTTTTTAAAGAGTAACATAGCCTTTTAATCCCTGTATTTCTACAAGGTCGGGAGTCGGGACCTAAGTGAGAGGAATCTTCTTCATATCACTGGCGCAAAACAAGAAATTGAATAGTTTTTAGTAAAACAATGACTTCACATGACAATAAGGTTACGAGGTAGGAGTATTGAAATAGGTTTAATAAATTTTTGTTCCTGTTATTAAACGCCTTACTTGGATCCGTCAATATTAATGTCTATGGAAAGTTTGTGATTTCAAGATACCATTTTATGATAGGTATAAGT